CTTATTAATGGGGCGCTCACCTCAACGAACCAGGATCGAATCTGCTGAATTGAATCCAATTCAGCGCACTCTCCAGCAGAAGTAACATCACAAAAGCATCGCATTCCAGTATGACGTTTGAGACGCAGGGTAGGATCACAGAATTTCAACATGTGGCATTGTATTGTGCCATTGATCTAGCAAACCCCAGAGTGAGATAAGTCATTTAAATTCATTTTGGTGAATTTGGGGTCTACCCCAAAGTACTCCAGGCTTCCTCACCCCTTATTGTTAGCTGCTTCTGGGGGAGGAAGAAGATTAAGAAGGGTAAGAGGTAAATCAGAGGGTTACACAGAGCAACTCCAAAGTTAAAACGTGGCAAGTATGTCACCCACCAAAAAAAAAAAAATCAATAAAATAAAGTGCCCTTTGTCAATTACTCTGAATTCATGTTCGTCTTAGTTAAGTAGTAAATCCCAAAAGCAGGGCTGGAATGAATAAAAAAGCAATTTCAAAGTACAAGATGAGGAAGAGCAGTACAGGAAGAACTGAAAATGTGTGGGTGTTATTCATTCTGCCTCTGAATACTCTGGTATCCTTGTCAGGGGCCAAAATGATTTGTACATACTTGGCATTTAAAGTTAAGGGGTTGTGAAACCACACGGAAAATGTACTATGGGACGGTCAGCATGGTAACTTCTGATGAGTGAAGAGGATGGGGAAAAAAGAGTGGTTAGATGAGATTGCAGTGCACACCAGTGACACCTTGGAAAACAGTTCAGCATTGAGACCAGAAAAAAATTCGCAACAAGACCAGAAAAAAGAAAATATTCAGTCAGTGTCAGCTTCCCTCCCTTCTACCCTCGCAACAGACCTAATGAGGAAATCCAGATTGGCAACATTAGTTATTTATCTCAGCTGCATGAATGTAAAGTAAGAGTATACACTGGAAACTCCAGCCCTCATATTAGGAAATATTAGAGGATAGTCTACAATAGTTGAACAGAATAAATAGCTGATTGAGGAATAGGCTGGTGACCTGTATTTAATTGGTTAAATTAAACATTGAGGTCAATGAAGCTGTGCAAAATGCTATTTGATGTTGAATGCATGGGAATGCAGCTCTTAGGAAAAAAGCTAGAAGGTAAGAGGACCTCTATCCAGAACACAGGTTGGTCACTGAAGTAGTATCTTCTGTAAATAAAATCCTTTTTAATAGTCATGGCACTTTGGCTGGAATAGGTATGTCAGGAATCCATGTAAATGATGGACTGGTTTGATTTTTTTTTTAAACTATCCCTTGTAAAACATGTTAGGTTCAAATTCAGAAAAGGACTTCAACTTAATCTGTGATCAGACCCTGATTTTTATAACTGTACTTAACAATCATAAGTATTCACGAAATGGTTTAAGGGAACACATTTCAGTCTGTGGGATGTTCTCAAACAGTTTATGTATTCATTACGCATTATTAGTTGGAAGGGACTTGTCATATAGATTACATAGTAATATGAAGGGGGAAAACTCCTTCTAGCAACTACTAAACCCTAATAGGTCTTCAGGGACATCATAATCTATTTTGTAAATTCATTAATTTTCCTTTACTTGACCCTACTAGACCATAAGTACTCTGCTGCAGAGTTACTGCTATTACTAGTATATACACGGTTTAATCAGGATGTCTGGAAATATGTGATATTGGTCCTATGAACCAAAAAGAAATAGCATGCTTTTCCGAATAAGCTTTTTTCTCTTTGTTGAAATTTTTATAAATACCCATTCGTTAATTTTTATTTTTTCCATAACATCCAAAATTTCACTTTTAAAAGTAAACTTTTAACTACAAAGCAGCTCAAGAAAAGCATTTAAAAACCACATTAATATGCTCCATGTTGTTTCCTGGGGTGACATGATTTTGTGCTAAATTTCAACCAGGAGTGAATTTTTACAAAAGGTTAAATGGATTTATAATGGAACTACTAGCACAATCTTAACGGTGAAAGCGCTACTAAGTAGTTCTATAATAGTCATAGTACCATAGTCACCAGCTTCTTTGAACTTCTTCACTATTGTATAAACTTCTCATTCAGCAGCTCAAATTACTTTGATACACAATTATTAATGAAAATTTTAGAAAAGTTCCATGTGGCCTTCTGTAAAATAATGCAAAAAATAATTAGCAGGAAGCAACTGAATACCTGGGAGAATTGTATGAAATGGGTCAGTAAAGTTATAAGGCCAAATTCATCCCAGCTGTAATTCCATTTACTTCATTATGTATATAGAACTAAATTAGGTACCTGAGGGTATGTCTACACTACGGAATAAGGTCGAATTTATAGAAGTCGGTTTTTTAGAAATCGGTTTTATAAATTCGAGTGTGTGTGTCCCCACAGAAAATGCTCTAAGTGCATTAAGTGCATTAACTCGGCGGAGCGCTTCCACAGTACCGAGGCAAGCGTCGACTTCTGGAGCGTTGCACTGTGGGTAGCTATCCCACAGTTCCCGCAGTCTCCGCTGCCCATTGGAATTCTGGGTTGAGATCCCAATGCCTGATGGGGCTAAAACATTGTCGCGGGTGGTTCTGGGTACATATCGTCAGCCCCCCGTTCCCTCCCTCCCCCCGTGAAAGCAAGGGCAGACAATCATTTCGTGCCTTTTTTCCTGAGTTACCTGTGCAGACGCCATACCACAGCAAGCATGGAGCCCGCTCAGGTAACCGTCACCCTATGTCTCCTGGGTGCTGGCAGACGCGGTACGGCTTTGCTGCACAGTAGCAGCAACCCCTTGCCTTCTGGCAGCAGACGGTGCAATACGATTGGTAGTCGTCCTCATCGTGTCCGAGGTGCTCCTGGCCGCGTCGGCTGGGAGCGCCTGGGCAGACATGGGCGCAGGGACTAAATTTGGAGTGACTTGACCAGGTCATTCTCTTTAGTCCTGCAGTCAGTCCTATTGAACCGTCTTATGGTGAGCGGGCAGGCGATACGGACTGCTAGCAGTCGTACTGTACCATCTTCTGCCAGGCAGGCAAGAGATGAGGATTGCTAGCAGTCGTATTGCACCATCTTCTGCCAGGCAGGCAAGAGATGGGGATGGCTAGCAGTCGTACTGTACCATCTTCTGCCGAGCAGCCATGAGATGTGGATGGCATGCAGTCCTTCTGCACCGTCTGCTGCCAGCCAAAGATGTAAAAGATAGATGGAGTGGGTCAAAACAAGAAATAGACCAGATTTGTTTTGTACTCATTTGCCTCCTCCCCTGTCTAGGGGACTCATTCCTCTAGGTCACACTGCAGTCACTCACTGAGAAGGTGCAGCGAGGTAAATCTAGCCATGTATCAATCAGAGGCCAGGCTAACCTCCTTGTTCCAATAACAACGATAACTTAGGTGCACCATTTCTTATTGGAACCCTCCGTGCAGTCCTGCCTGAAATACTCCTTGATGTACAGGCACCCCCTTTGTTGATTTTAGCTCCCTGAAGCCAACCCTGTAAGCCGTGTCGTCAGTCGCCCCTCCCTCCGTCAGAGCAACGGCAGACAATCGTTCCGTGCCTTTTTTTCTGTGCGGACGCCATACCACGGCAAGCATGGAGCCCGCTCAGCTCACTTTGGCAATTAGGAGCACATTAACCACCACACGCATTATTCAGCAGTATATGCAGCACCAGAACATGGCAACGCGATACCGGGCGAGGAGGCGACGTCAGCGCGGTCCCGTGAGTGATCAGGACATGGACACAGATTTCTCTGAAAGCATGGGCCCTGACAATGCATGCATCATGGTGCTAATGGGGCAGGTTCATGCTGTGGAACACCGATTCTGGGCTCGGGAAACAAGCACAGACTGGTGGGACCGCATAGTGTTGCAGGTCTGGGACGATTCCCAGTGGCTACGAAACTTTCGCATGCGTAAGGGCACTTTCATGGAACTTTGTGACTTGCTTTCCCCTGCCCTGAAGCGCATGAATACCAAGATGAGAGCAGCCCTCACAGTTGAGAAGCAAGTGGTGATAGCCCTGTGGAAGCTTGCAACGCCAGACAGCTACCGGTCAGTTGGGAATCAATTTGGAGTGGGCAAATCTACTGTGGGGGCTGCTGTGATGCAAGTAGCCCACGCAATCAAAGATCTGCTGATATCAAGGGTAGTGACCCTGGGAAATGTGCAGGTCATAGTGGATGGCTTTGCTGCAATGGGATTCCCTAACTGTGGTGGGGCTATAGATGGAACCCATATCCCTATCTTGGCACCGGAGCACCAAGCCGCCGAGTACATAAACCGCAAGGGGTACTTTTCGATAGTGCTGCAAGCTCTGGTGGATCACAAGGGACGTTTCACCAACATCAACGTGGGATGGCCGGGAAAGGTGCATGATGCTCGCATCTTCAGGAACTCTGGTCTGTTTCAAAAGCTGCAGGAAGGGACTTTATTCCCAGACCAGAAAATAACTGTTGGGGATGTTGAAATGCCTATATGTATCCTTGGGGACCCAGCCTACCCCTTAATGCCATGGCTCATGAAGCCGTACACAGGCAGCCTGGAGAGTGGTCAGGAGCTGTTCAACTACAGGCTGAGCAAGTGCAGAATGGTGGTAGAATGTGCATTTGGACGTTTAAAGGCGCGCTGGCGCAGTTTATTGACTCGCTTAGACCTCAGCGAAACCAATATTCCCACTGTTATTACTGCTTGCTGTGTGCTCCACAATATCTGTGAGAGTAAGGGGGAGACGTTTATGGCGGGGTGGGAGGTTGAGGCAAATCGCCTGGCTGCTGGTTACGCGCAGCCAGACACCAGGGCGGTTAGAAGAGCACAGGAGGGCGCGGTACGCATCAGAGAAGCTTTGAAAAACAGTTTCATGACTGGCCAGGCTACGGTGTGAAAGTTCTGTTTGTTTCTCCTTGATGAACCCCCCCACCCCTTGGTTCACTCTACTTCCCTGTAAGCTAACCACCCTCCCCTCCTCCCTTTAATCATTGCTTGCAGAGCCAATAAAGTCATTGCTGCTTCACAGTCATGCATTCGTTATTCATTCATCACACAAATAGGGGGATGACTACCAAGGTATCCCAGGAGGGGTGGTGGAGGAGGGAAGGAAAATGCCACACAGCACTTTAAGCACAGCACTTTAAAAGTTTACAACTTTAAAATTTATTGAATGACAGCCTTCTTTTTTTTGGGCAATCCTCTGTGGGGGAGTGGCTGGTTGGCCGGAGGCCCCCCCACCGCGTTCTTGGGCGTCTGGGTGTGGAGGCTATGGAACTTGGGGAGGAGGGTGGTTGGTTACAGAGGGGCTGCAGTGGCAGTCTGTGCTCCAGCTGCCTTTGCTGCAGCTCAACCATACACTGGAGCATACTGGTTTGGTCCTGCAGCAGCCTCAGCATTGAATCCTGCCTCCTCTCATCACGCTGCCGCCACCTTTGAGCTTCAGCCCTGTCTTCAGCCCGCCACTTACTCTCTTCAGCCCGCCACTTACTCTCTTCAGCCCTCCACCTCTCCTCCCGGTCATTTTGTGCTTTCCTGCACTCTGACATTATTTGCCTCCACGCATTCGTCTGTGCTCTGTCAGTGTGGGAGGACAGCATGAGCTCGGAGAACATTTCATCACGAGTGCGTTTTTTTTTCTTTCTAAGCTTCACTAGCCTCTGTGAAGGAGAAGATCCTGTGATCATTGAAACACATGCAGCTGGTGGAGAAAAAAAAAGGGACAGCGGTATTTAAAAAGACACATTTTATAAAACAGTCGCTACACTCTTTCAGGGTAAACCTTGCTGTTAACATTACATACATAGCACATGTGCTTTCGTTACAAGGTCGCATTTTGCCTCCTCCCACCGCGTGAACGGATTTTGGTTGAATGCCAGCAAACATACACTGCAATGCTTTGTTCTACAGTGATTCCCCAGTACGTGTTGCTGGCCTGGAGTGGTAAAGTGTCCTACCATGAAGGACGAAATAAGGCTGCCCTCCCCAGAAACCTTTTGCAAAGGCAGAACCGCAAATGCCAGGGCAAAGTAATCCTTTCACATGCTTGCTTTTAAACCATGTATAGCATTTTAAAAGGTACACTCACCAGAGGTCCCTTCTCCGCCTGCTGAGTCCAGGAGGCAGCCTTGGGTGGGTTCGGGGGGTACTGGCTCCAGGTCTAGGGTGAGAAACAGTTCCTGGCTGTCGGGAAAACCGGTTTCTCCGCTTGCTTGCTGTGAGCTATCTACAACCTCCTCATCATCATCTTCTTCGTCCCCAAAACCTACTTCTGTATTGCCTCCATCTCCATTGAAGGAGTCAAACAACACGGCTGGGGTAGTGGTGGCTGAACCCCCTAAAATGGCATGCAGCTCATCATAGAAGCGGCATGTTTGGGGCTCTGACCCAGAGCGGCTGTTCGACTCTCTGGTTTTCTGGTAGGCTTGCCTCAGCTCCTTCAGTTTCACGCGGCACTGCTTCGGGTCCCTGTTATGGCCTCTGTCCTTCATGCCCTGGGAGATTTTCAGAAAGGTTTTGGCATTTCGAAAACTGGAACGGAGTTCTGATAGCACGGATTCCTCTCCCCAAACAGCGATCAGATCCCGTACCTCCCGTTCAGTCCATGCTGGAGCTCTTTTGCGATTCTGGGACTCCATCATGGTCACCTCTGCTGATGAGCTCTGCATGGTCACCTGCAGCTTGCCACGCTGGCCAAACAGGAAATGAGATTCAAAAGTTCGCGGTTCTTTTCCTGTCTACCTGGCCAGTGCATCTGAGTTGAGAGCACTGTCCAGAGCGGTCAGAATGGAGCACTCTGGGATAGCTCCCGGAGGCCAATACCATCGAATTGTGTCCACAGTACCCCAAATTCGAGCCGGCAACGTCGATTTAAGCGCTAATCCACTTGTCAGGGGTGGAGTAAGGAAATCGATTTTAAGAGCCCTTTAAGTCGAAATAAAGGGCTTCATTGTGTGGACGGGTGCAGGTTTAAATCGATTTAATGCTGCTAAATTCGACCTAAAGTCCTAGTGTAGACCAGGGCTGAGTGTACTGAGCACATGCTGAGAAATTTCACTTTAGAACTGACCCATCATGCATGAACTCATTTTGTGATATGCATAGAGCCTGGTCCTTCTGTCATCTACAAAGGTGTTTATCACCAAGTATTTAGTAGAATTAGCTACTTTGTTTATGCATGCATGTGCAGTAATGAAGTATTACCCAGGTATCGGAGGGCAGGAGCAAGCACAACAGAATGTGATGGAGGTTGTATGGTCTTCCCTTCAGTAGGAGCGTGGTGTGTGGGTGTACAAATGTATGCATCAACACAGGGCCCAGTCCTGTTAACACTTACTCATGTGAGTTGTTTCATTGACCTTTATGGGGCTACTTGTATGTGAGTATTTGCAGAACTGGTCCTTAGTGTGCAATGCACTGAACAAAAATGATAGAAGTCTGTGACAAAAAATGGAATTGAATACAGAGATCTGAAGCTTTACATTAATACTTTATCAAACCTGTCTTGTGGAAAGCTAATGGAAAGGTTTAAAATATACTGTTTTTTTCCTTAGGACACATTATAATTTTGTATTACTGAATACACTGTGTTGTTTGTTATCAAGTAATTGAAAGCCTCTGTTGTAAAACCTTGCATACTTATAACTGGGAGGAGTTAAGGTTGTTTATAGGAAACTTTACTCTGAATTTCTCAGAGAGGAATGAGAGAGGGGTTGTATTACTAAAGTTCCAAGTTTATGGATATGTGGAACACCACATGAATTCATTGGGACTGTCCACAGACCCATGCATTTGTCATCTACTGAACCAAATGTTTCCCTCAGTTACACGCTACTAAGAGTAACTGGTAATCCCAAACCATAGGAAGTGCTCCAGATGAGATGAATAGTGAGTCCCCTGACTCCACCCTTCTCTATCATCTAGGCATTCAGTTCATCCCAAGAAAAACCTCCATCTCTATAGTTACTGTAAGAGTAGAACATAAATATGGTAATAATACAGGGTAACAACTTTTGGTAAGGTTACTCGTTAGTGTCTCAGAGAGAAGCTTCACTTAACTGCATAGTGAATATATAGTGTACACATGTAATATATTGTAAAATACTATTCCTACCTGCATAATCACTTGTGTATATTAGTATGTGCCAAAATATCTGCATGCTTATTTGTGTGTTTGTCCATGTACTTACTTGTAAATAGCAACACTAGTGCTTTATTAATGTATTTTTGGCATATATTTTGAAAACAAAAAAGCATTTTGTGGCACGCAAGGATATCTTTATGCAGTGACTTACTGTTTTGCATGAACAAATGCTTGTGTGTATGTATAAATGTGGGGATTTGTACAAATCAAGTTTTCACACTTTTATAAATGCTTATTTGGAAATTTGGCCATAAATGTGTAAATCAAAGAGGAATTTAAATACAGAAGGCCCAATCCCATAAGGTGCTGTATTTTGCTGTTTTCTGTGGACTCACAGCTCAGCTGTAAGGAAAGTGAAAATCATGAACCTGCCCTGGAGCAATGTATTGGAATACTTAAAACCATCAGGATATTGATTTGGAGTGTGAGCCCAATTGTCAAAGAAGGTTGCGTAATACCATAAAGAATCAGAACCTTGGTTGGTGTTAACTGGGGCTAACCTCAGTGGAGCTGTGCTGATTTATATGAGCTTACGATCAACATATAATTGCCTGCCTTGATAGCTTGTATTTTGAGGCGGTAGTTACTGTAGCAATGCTTCCTAAAACTAAGATTTGGGGAGGTTGTGTGTGTGTGTGGGTGGTTTTTTTTTAAATCTTATGTGAATGTAATGCTTATGAAGAATATTAGATAGATGACTTCAGTAATATCAGTGTACTCCAGATTGTCAGTGATCAGGATGTGGGTGGTCATGCCTAGTGGCAGGAGCAAGCATCACACCTAGTGGTGGGAGCAGGCATTGGTAGCCAGGAATCAGAGGCCAGGGTCAGAAGCCAAGATGCCAGAGCCAAAGTCAAGGGTCAGAAATGGATTACCTAGAGTGAAGCAAAGTCAGTCCAAGGCAGGCACAGGACTGGAACAAGCCCTGACTAAATGCTTTGAACTGCTGCTGGGTGTAAGACCCGATTTGCTGACTCTTTCAACCATCAGGTGGTGTCGCCAGTTAGGCAGCCTATTACAAGCCAGCTTCACTTATCAGGGTGCCCAGAGACTGGCTCTGCTGCAGGCCCTGATTCCAAACTGCCTTATTGCAGGCCCTGATTCCTGACACAGATACAGTGTTGCGATCTGTGGTATCAGTTTGATCCATATTGTCCTGTCAATATGGCTCAGCCCTGACTGGGAACAACCCCCTTAGGGGTGAGAAGGCAGTTATGTTCAAATTTTGGCCTTTTGGTTTGAAGGCCAGAAGGTGGCCTATTATTTCAGTGGCCTTTGTGAGGAGGGTACATATGCAGAAGGAACTGGACTGAATTCATCAACTTTTTTGATAATTTTTTGGATGAGATTACAAGTTTGATAAAGGTAAGAGTGCTGATGTAGTATACTCAGACTTCTGTAAGGCATTTGACTTGGTATCACATGACATTTTGATCAAAAAATTAGAATGATACAAAATTAACAAAGCACACATTAAATGGATTAAAAGATGACTAGTTGATAGGTTTTAAAATGTAATAGTAAAGAGAGAATCCTCATTGAGCAAGCTTGGTTCTCGCCCCCCCCACCCCCCCGGGGTGGGTTCTTGCCCCATGCTATTTAACATTTTATTAATGACTTGGAAGAAAACATAACATCATCACTGATAAAGTCTGCAGATGACAGAAAGACTGGGGGAGTGGTAAATGATGAACAGGACAGGTCACTGAAATAGAGTGATCTGGATTGCTCAGTAAGTTCGGTGCAAGCAAACACTATGCATTTTAATATATCTAAATGTAAATGTGTACATCTGGGAACAAAGAATGTAGGCCATACTTACAGGAGGGGGGACTCTTTATCTTGGGAAGCTGTGACTCTGAAAAAGATTTCAGGGTCATGATGGACAATCAGCTGAACATGAGCTCCCAGAGTGATGCTGTGGCCAAAAGGGTTAATGCAATCCTTTGGTGCATAAACAGGGGAATCTTGAGTAGGATTAAAGAGGTATTTTACCTCTGTGTTTGGCACTGATGTACCTGCTGCTGAAATACTGTGTCCAGTTCTGGTGTCCTCGATTGAAGAAGGCTCTTGATAAATTGGAGAGTGTTAAGAGAAGAACCGTGAGAATGATTACATGATTAGAAATCATGCCTTATAGTGAAAAACTCAGAGCTCAATTTATTTAGCTTATCAAAAAGAAGGTTAAGGGGTGACTTGATCACAGCCTTTAAATATCTTGGTGGGGAACAGATATTTGATGCTGGGCTCTTCATGCGAGCAGACAAAGGTATAACAAGATCCAATGGCTGGAAGTTGAAGCTAGACGAAGTCAGACTGGAAATAAAGCATAAATTTTTAATAGTGAGGGTAACTAACCATTGGAACTGTAAAAAAAAAGTATAAAGAATCATGTTAGATAAATGTATATTAAATAATGTTAGAGACGTAGTTATATATTTAATAGCGTTATAAGAAAATGTAAAAGGGAATTCTGCTTTCTGCATGGGTCTTGTTGACACAGCTTTTAAAACTCTCCTAAAACAATTTCAAAGGTTGTGAAAAATCAGAAGGTTGGTGTGTGTCTTATCTGTGGTCTGTGTAGATAACAGAGCAAAGCAAACCAGACAAATGTGTGATTCACTAACCAGGTGCAGATTTCCCTCGTAAACAAGACTTGGGAGGATGGATATTGACTGAAGAGAACTAGCCAACTCTAATTCCAAGAAGCAGATAAGTAAGAATAACCCAACTGATGTAGGAAATAATAAAATATATGAAAGCAATGAAAAGACAGCTGGATTGAATAAGGAGAAGGATAGTAATGGCTAAATAAAAGACAGAAAAGGAGGTACCAATTGGAGTTTCAGCAGGATAAGTAAAAGTATATTAGTTAAAAGAATTTGGGGTTTGTGTGTATGGAAATATATTTACAATAGAATATTTATAGGTGAGGTAGTTTTAATAATCTGTGCCTCATGATGTTATAAGACAAGGTATAAAGGATGGTCATTTAACAAAAGACGATGGAGCAATGCAGGACAACCACCACATTGGACCAACATGGGTCTGATGATGACAGAAACAGCGTGCCTGTGCCCCCAAGGCTGAGTAATTGATCATTATGCTATTCTGCTCTATCTGCTTTACTTATGCTTTATGCTTGAGTATAGTAAATATATGGTAATATAATGTCCTAAAATTTTCATATTAAAGCTTTAAACTAGTTAAGCTTAGTAATTTGTGTGGTCAGTGCTTTACATCTGGCAGAACAATTTAGCCAGGATTGTGGTGGACTCTCCATCACTGGCAATTTTTAAATCAAGGTTGGATTTTTTTAAAAAAAGATGTGCTCTAGTTTAAAAGGAATTATTTTGTGGGAGTTCTATGGCCTGTGTTATACAGGAAATCAGATGAGATGACCACAGTGGTTCTTTCTGCCCTTGGAACCTATAAATTGGTTTCAGGTAGGTCACCTAATACTCATGACATTGTAATAACTTTGAATTGGAGACTTAGAGATAAAAGAATCTGTGTCTGTGTGTGTAGGGAGAAAAACGTTTAATGTGAACTTGTACAAGGAATGATGGGTATATCACTGACATCAAATGAGAGATCTCTTTGTGCTCAGAATTCTACAGCTTTTTAATGATCAATTAACAATTCAGAACTTTTCCTATGGCATTCAGAGGCTATGTCTACACTACAGTCGGGATCGATGCTCTGAGATCGATCCACCGGTGGTTGATTTAGCGGGTCTAGCAAAGACCTGCCAAATTGACAGCAAATTGCTCTCCAGTTGACCCTGTACTCTACCCCTGACGAGAAGAGTAAGGTAAGTCGATGGGAGAGTTCATCCCATCAACCCCCCATGGTGAAGACC